GGGGGGTTTTTGCTGTGTGAGGGTGATGTGCTTGCTCAGACTGTGTAGTCTTTGGAGAACAAAATAAACCTCAAGTGAAGTGCTTGCCACGCCCCGAGCAGCAACGAGAACTTAAGCCTCCAGCACTAAACGTTTCTGATAAATTGTTAATACTGTTTGATGGTGCAAGTGATAATTTCTTGCTGAAGTAACACTGTTCCAGTCAGCCTTGAAGGGATCCAAGGCTCATCCAATTAAATTTTTTTAAAATATTCTTTCTCCTTCTAACATATTTTCCTAACATCTTTTCACAGCCAAAAAATAGTTGAAATGAAGTTGATGTCTCATTAAAGAATGTGATTTCTTAGTATAAATGACTCATATGATTAATAAGTTATACAATTAATATTAACAGCTGTAATAAAACAATCAATTTGTCCTTTTTCTTTCATGATTACATTTTTCTAGGCCTTGTCTCTCCCAAGTCATTTAAAGTGAGGGACAGCTCCCAACAGCAATAGCAGTGGAGTAAACACAGTGTACTCGTTGTGTTCTTAACAGCAGCACAGTTTTTAGTGGTGTCTCTTTTTTGAAGTCATTCTGTTGTTTTTCTCCTTGCCTTTTCAGCAGCTGCATATGTTACAGTATATTTTAACATTTAAATATGTCCCATGTTAAACTGTAATTTCAATTAGTTAAATTTTAATGTAATCTGATGTTAAACTGTAGAGTAGAACTGAAGGAGGGTCCTGAGCTCCTTTAGGTTTATCAAAGTTATTGAGTAAAAGAGAGAGAGAGACTCTTCACAAGCTACACTGATGGAAATACATTTTATGGTTGTAGTCTAATACATTGTTGATAAATGAAAGATAATGTTCCCCTCACTAATGAGTTTATAGATGTTGCTGAATGCTGACAGCTGCTCAATACCAGTATGTGTAGGAAATGCATTTCTTTGACTTTCCCAGCAAGCCTGGAATTTAATCCTTTAATCTGCTATTTCCACTGTATAATAATAAACCTGTGGGTGAATATCTTTAGGTAACATTCCATAGAGGAATTCCATGTGATCTGACACATGGAAGGTCATTATACTGCCATGTGAAAGGGATGCACGTTACAGATAAGATAGTGACATCAGAGGCTTGGAATAACCATAAAGTTCCAGATAGTGTGTGAGACAAAACCTGAGTGTTCTCCTCCACTTCCATGTTCTGCCTCACTTGAATGGAGCAGCACTGAGACCCATGGTCAGTGAAAGAGAGGACTGGAAGCTTCAGTATCGGTTCCCAGTTATTTTGCTGACTTCTGTGACTTTAGTAAAATATTGAGGATCTAAATTTGCAAAGTATGTGCTATTCCTTGCTGGTCCTCACTTTCAAGGTTAGTGATCACTAATGACTAATCTCTGTCACTTCCCTCTATCCAAGGCATACCCTGCTAAAGCTGAGGTCAGTTATGGGCACCATAAAATGGATACTTGTGTATCTGGAGCCATTAAAATCAATGGATTTTTTTCTAAAATCAAAATTCTGCTTTATAATAAAGTGTCTTTTACCTAAAATAACTGTTCAGATGGAGACTCGGAGACATTTCTTTTAACTGGTGGCTCTTGTTGTAGAAGTTGAATTATGGGTGTGTTTGGTGAGCACAGAAAACAATTCTTTAGGTAATTCCAGGTAGAACTTAACGACACCATCTAGATTCTTCAGTGCAGTTTCTTTCTGAGCAAGCTGTTGAACTGAGCCCAGCAGATGACAAGACTCCAGTCCTTTAAGGGTCTGTGCTGTCGGTCAGGTTGTTGGGGTGAGGTTTGTGTATTTGCAGTGCTGTAAGGGGGGATTCATGGTTCAGCAAAATCAGGGAGCGAGAAAGAAGAGGAAAGAAGTGATATTCTTCCTTCTAAATGTGAGAATTGTGTTTTTCTAAGCTTTGTAGGTACTTCTTGGCACGTTGTACTTCTGCCTTTCCCCAGGATGGAGTGGGAAGGATGAACCTCAGTATCTCCACGGAAGGAACGTGGTGTAGTGGGTGCTGGGTTTCACCCTGGGGTAGCCCCACTTGGCAGCGGGCTCCTGGCAGCCTCTTAGGGGCAGGATCAGGAGCTTCCTGCAGCTCTTGGAGTCCTTCCCAGCATGTCCCTGTCTCGTCGTGGTGCTGTGCTGGTTTGGGCTGTGGTGTTTGGAACACTGGCTCTGGTGATGTGCTGAGGGTGGAAGTGCCTTCAGCTGTCGTGTTTCGTGGCAGGGAACACCAGGATCATGTTCCAAGCATAAGGAGCCTTTGGCCAAGAAGGACCTTATGGAGGCTTTATTTGATGTCCAGCTGATCTTGCACCACATCTTCTCCTCCTTAGATAGCACAGTTCAGAATTGTGATGTTCTTAGGTCTGCACCTGGGGCAGCTGGAGCAGAAAGGAAGCTGTAGCTGTCCTGCCACTGGAGTTGGTAGCTGTGGGGTGTTTCCATTGCACCCCTTGGGAAGTGTTGCTCTGAATTCCTCGGGCAATAAAAGAAGAGGATTTCTGCTACTTCCTGTTGGCCATTCAGATGGGGGAGGAGGGAGGCATCTGAGAGACCCTGATGCTTCAGGGTGGAACTTCCTGCTGGGTGAGTGATCCTTGGGCTGTGCCTGCCCTCAGCCCGTGCAGCTCACAGAGACTAGTGAGAGTGAAAGCAGAGTCTGGCTTTCAGTTTGACTTCTGGTCTAAACCTCATGAATTTGCCTGGGGAGAGGTGCTAACAGTGGCTTCTCTGAAGGAATAGTCAACATAATTTTTAGGCACTTGCTTCAGCAGGCACTCTGGGGTTGAAAACTCTGAAACATTCTGGTCTTTTCTTGCAGATAACTGCAGTACTGACCTCGGTGTGTGCGGATGGATCCTGGTCATCACTTCCCTTTTTTTCACTATTATTACCTTTCCTATATCAATCTGGATGTGTGTGAAGGTAACATTGTTCACTGCCAATTTGGACTAATGCTTTAAGCAGAATTGTGTCGTTGTTCTTATTGTTCTTATTGTTCTCCATGTGTTTTAAATGCCAATTAATCTACCTCTATTCTTTCTACCTATACCACACAGTATATAGCAGACCTCAACATTCCAGTGCATTAATCTTAAAAAAAAAAAAAGGAAAGTGTGATTACAGGATTTAGTCAAAACAATTTTTGCATTGCCATCTTTATTGCTTCTACCCAGTTGTCAGTCTATAGGCTAGTTTGGAAGGTCAGAATAATTGCAAGAATGCATACTTGCTCTTGGAGGACTGAGATTGTCATTTTTTTATGTAGTTTTTTTAAGATCTCTCCCTATATATGTATAAATAAGTAAATATAAATATGTGTCTGCATGCCTGTGGCTGTATGTTCCTTTTGCTGTTTGACTTTTGACAATAAAGTTTAGGCTAAAACTCTCAAAAGCAGCCTGTCTAGAAATGAGGAGTGATCCATGTTAACGTTTGAGGCTTGAGAGCATCTCAGACTAGAGTATACACAGTTTGGAATCCATCGTGTGGCTTCTGGTAGCCCCTGCATGACCTCCAGCCTTGTCTTGCAGATTGTGAAGGAGTACGAGCGAGCCATCATCTTCAGGCTGGGACGTATCCTAAAAGGGGGAGCCAAGGGACCAGGTATGTCCTGGGGAGCATCCTCAGTGGTTGTTCTGGTTAAGTCATCAGCAGAGTGAGAGCTGTCTGGAGACGTTGCAGTGGAGTGGCAAAAGCATTTCTCAAGAATTTTGTAACTTCCAGTAAGAGGATACGTTACCTTATATGAGAAGACAGTAAACTGATTCTCTGTCAGCCTTACCCAGGTCTGATCTAATACGTGGTCTGCAGATCAAATCAAAGGCACAGGATGTGAAGGGAGGAGAGATGGCATCAAATGTGGCATTTTAAAAAAGAGGGGTATGTCAGTTAACACCCAGATGGCTCGAGAGCCTTGATGTTCTTCTAAACAAATAGAAGCAGTTAAATTAATTGATGGTTTTGGAAAGTTTCCTTAATTAGAATATAATATTAGAAATTCTGGGGAGATCAGAAAGATTGTTCTTTTCAGCTGTTGCTCCAGCTGCTCCAAGTGACAGAGAGGGGCAGTCGCCACTTCCTTTGTTTTCATCCAGGTTTTGCAATGCTTCCCCCTTGTACAGCTGACAAATTAGTGATCTCCCAGAAAAGAGAAGGAGTTTCTGCTTGCCAGAATTGGGCCCCACGAGTAACTGTGGGAAAAGCATTTCAAAAAGTAGCTCTTTACATTTCTGGGTGTTTTTTCCAAATGCTAAAGATCTCTAATTTGAACCTGAAAAAGTGCTTCCTTTGTTTTCATCCAGGTTTTGCAATGCTTCCCCCTTGTACAGCTGACAAATTACTGATCTCCCAGAAAAGAGAAGGAGTTTCTGCTTGCCAGAATTGGGCCCCACGAGTAACTGTGGGAAAAGCATTTCAAAAGTAGCTCTTTATGTTTCTGTGTGTTTTTTTCCAAATGCTAAAGATCTCTAAGTAATTTGAACCTGAAAAAGTGAAGTTTCTCAGCTTATGGTTTTTAAAAACCTTACTGTGATGTGAAAGCCACTAATGAACCTGCAGCTGAGCTTGTTAAGAGAGGCACAGCCAGGGTGGTTGGACTGCAGCTTAGCTCAGTACCAAGTCTCAGCTGTTTTACTGACCCTTTTTCACATCTTCTTGGATGGATTTTTTTTGCACAGGTTTGTTTTTCATCCTGCCCTGCACAGACAACTTCATTAAGGTTGATATGAGGACCATCTCCTTTGATATTCCTCCCCAGGAGGTGAGTGTGCATCTGCCTTTGAATCTGCTAAAGCAGTTGCAGATTTTTTTTTTGCTTTCTTTTCCCTTTCCCCCTCTCAGTGTTGGGTGGCATGTATTGTTAATGTAGATTTCTTGTGCAGGTTCAATGCATTGTGAAGAACACCTAAATCCTTTAGTGAGAGCATTCAATGAGAGCAGATCCCTGACAGAAAACACACTGTGCTGTCCTCCAAGGACCAAAGCAGTAACTTAATCGTGCCTAAGAGCTAGAGTGGGAGGGGATTGGAATGAAGACTGCTGGACTTCATGCAATGTTCTCTAATTGTTTCTGGGAAATCTGGAAGATTTCCAGAAGCAGCAGTGATCCATGCCAATTTATCCAGATATATAAACTGGCTAAAAGAATGGGATGAAGTCATTGTGTATGTCAAGTGCTATCAATAGCCACTCAGTGCCAGGGTCCCTGACTTGGGTTTTCTGTGCCTGTTGCTCCCATGTCCTGTGATGCACAGGGACACTGCAGGGGGTGCCACACCTGATGTCACCTGGTGGCTTTCACTTTGAAGGTTATTTAGAACAAAAAAAAAAGTTACTTCTATTTCTAGCCTGTTTTTCCTTTGACACCTTAATTTGGTGGCAGAATCCCTCCACAGCACTAAACCAGCTGAACTCAGTGATGCCAACACTGAAAGACCAGAACCCAACCAGCCCTCTAACAATACATTTGTGAGGAATTGTATGTTGATGATTACAGCTGCATCCCTCGTGTATCTGCTGCATTTTGCAAGACAAAGGTGCTCGTGGCAGCTTGTCTGGTGCATCTGTTCCCTGTCATATCTGCAAGGGGCTTTATTGCTCATCATTAGTTGTAGATTTAGACAAATGGCAACTGTCATGGCACACTCGAGAGGGTAATTGGTAGAAACCCAATCACTGGCAGGCAAAATGTGCTTGCAGCTGCTGATGTGCCATTAGTGGGTGAAGCCATTGGTTCTACAGCTTTGCTTTTGGCTTGATTAAATTATTCTTGCAGATTAAGGTTGGTTTGTTTTCATTAGATAAAAGCAGAAATAAATTTTCATTTGTACAACATGATTTCTGTGCATGCTACTTGGGTTTTGAAAAGCCTGCTTAGATAGGTAGTCTGGGGAGGGATGGAGCAGGTAAGTAACCCCTCTCTCTTGTGTAATAACATAACAATGACTGCCTGACATGGAATTAGGACACCTCGTGGTTGTGTGGCATGTTTCAGTCTCTAACTGAACTTTAAAATATAATTATTACTGCTTCTTTGTAGTGTGCCCTCTTCTAAACAATCAAGAATCTCTCTTTATCTTTGCTGGTATATCTTTTGCCTAACGTAAAAGTGTTAAACTCAGTAAACCACTTGACTCCAGCTCTGAGGATGTTCACAAACTGGATTTCCTCTGCCCCTTGTCTAGAAACCACCACATTGTCACTTAGTAGCACAAGGTGGAATTTTGATCAGAAGCACTTCCAAGAAGGACATTGAACTGCTAGATGATAAGAGAGATATTTCCAATTAGCTGGAATCCATTAGGCTGTTGGGACAGGCAAAACCAATTTTGTAAGTAGCTAGGCATAGCTCAGTGAAGCCTTCCAGTCCTTTCTGGAGAAGGAAAGCTCTGTTTCCCTAAGCTTTGCTGTGTGCTGACATCCTGCTTTACAAAGTTCCTGAGATTCTGTGAAGCACCTTCTGCAGCCCCTGCTTTGCTGGAGTCTCTGGGATTGGCCATTCCCCTGCTCTGGAACGAGCAGTGATTGGGAACTGCCTCCAGCTCCAGTCACACCTGCAGCCCAGGAGGCTCACAGGGGATGTGCCTGTGCAAGGGCAGCTGAGATACACTCCCTCTTCCCTCACCTGTTTAGCAGGTTGCCTCTTTTGCCCTTGTTTGCTAATCTGACAGATCTGCAGAGTTTGTCTTGCTAAACCAGGAGTCTTGTGACCGGAGTTAAATACAAGTGCAAGTCTAGTGTGTCCTAAACTTGCAATTATACTCATTAGCCTTTCTTCTCTGGACAGAAACATCAAATGAGCCTCTCTCAAATGTATCCAGTGTGTGCTCTTAACTAGAGCACTTTCACCCACTTTGAATGTCCCATGTTCCTACATTTAAACAAAATAACTTTGAGTGCTCGTGTTTTTGAGACTTTGCTGTTGCCTCAGCCCTTTGTTACACACACCTCCTGCACCCCAGTGCAGTCACTCTGCCTCTCACCCATCTGTTCCAAACCTCACTGAAATACAGTGGTGGGGACCTGGTTCAGGGGGTTGCCAGTGTCTTGTTTGCAGATTTTTCAGCTGACTGTTGCCTCAGCCCTTTGTTACACACACCTCCGGCCCCCCAGTGCAGTCACTCTGCCTCTCACCCATCTGTTGTTCCAAACCTCACTGAAATACAGTGGTGGGGACCTGGTTTGGGGGGTTGCCAGTGTGAGGCTGAAGCTCCTCAGCTGACAGCAGCTGGATTTTGGTGAACATTAGTCCTCATTTCAGTTTTTTTTTCAGTCACTCGTATGAATTGCAGATCCCTCTGTGGGTTTGAAGGAGTGAGTTAGAAATAGCATTCTGGCAAAAGTGAGAGTTTCTTTTCCAGTGAGAGGCATTCTGATCCCATATTTACTCTTAGCTGCACAGACCTGCACTGGAAGGTGTGTGCACCTGCATGCGGACACGTCCATGTGCACCAGACCTGTATAAGACAGGTTGTTTTCAAGGCAGTTGCTTTACCCTGGAAAAACAAGGAGTTTATCAAGTAAAACAAATAGCTAATTACCATGACATTAAATTATGTTTAATTACTCTCTACTTTCCCCATTGCTTTGCAGGTCCTGACCAAGGACTCTGTGACAATCAACGTGGACGGGGTGGTTTATTACCGAGTGCAGAATGCCACCCTGGCTGTGGCAAATGTCACCAATGCAGACTCAGCCACCAGGCTGCTCGCACAGACCACGCTGAGGAATGTTCTGGGGACCAAGAACCTCTCTCAGATCCTCTCTGATCGTGAGGAAATTGCACACAGCATGCAGGTAGGACCCCCTTGACCTGAGCAGCCTGTCAAACAGTCAGTTCAGCAGCAGCCTCATGGGTAATTTGCAGGTCAGGATTTATCTTACATTTTAAGTGATAAGCCAGCTTGTGGTTTGGAGCTTTAGGTAAAACCCTTTTGAGCTGTTAGGATGGTGTTCTGTATGATAAACCTGAGTGAGCCCAGCAGTAACAGACCAGTGGGAATGAGGGAGACAGGAGAGGAGGGCTCCCCTGGATTGTCAGGGCAAAACTCCACTGTTGAAGGAAATTATGCAACAGAACTCCTTAAATATATTAAGGCTTAATATACCAGGCTCTGGGCTTTTTTTTTTTTTCTTAGTTTACAGCAGTTGTCAAATTATAATTTAAATACTAAAGCCCTTAAGGTCCAAGAATTGTTAAGCTAATTAATTTGGTTTATGTAATGGTTTGAAAACAAACCAGCGAGAGACTCCAAGTCAGAAATACAATTTAATAAGAAAAAAAAAAAAAGCAATAATACAAAGGAAAACCACAGACAGAGTCAGAATACAACCTGACACTCTGTAGTTAGGGTGGTGGTAGCAGTCCAGATGAAACAGTGGTCTCGTAGAAAAGATCTGGTAGCTCTTGTCCTCTGGAAATCCAGTGGGTAAGGCCCCCCGTGCTGTCCTGAACCCCAGTTTATATCCAGGTGGGAGCACTTGGCTCCTCCCCCTGGGTGGAGCATCTCACAATGGGTTGATGTCAGTCTGTGACTCATGCAGTGGGTCCTTGATGGTCCATTAAACAGAAATAGCTCCTGTGGGGAGCTCTGTATGAGTCATGGGGCAAGGCATGGATGGGCCCATGGGCAGGGAGGACTCCTCCTGCTGGGTGGGAAGGTGTTAACATCTCCCCTGACCTTGAACCTCTTTCCTTCTCTGTTATAGCCTGGGGTGTGAGGTCTGTCCTGGGCAGCTGCTCCCCATGATTTTCTTAACAGCCCATGAGCACTGACAGAGAGAGTATAGAATATACAGTTTTGGTTCTACCCACATAAGGATAAACTGGTCCCAGCCCCTGTAACCATGACAGTTTACCAGTCATTCTTCAAATTTGGACACTTGTTTGCACCAGGGAGGTGGTTTAACTTAATTGTCCTGCCCTCTCTAGGCCACACTGGATGAGGCAACAGACCACTGGGGCATTAAGGTGGAGCGTGTGGAGATCAAGGATGTGAAGCTGCCAGTCCAGCTGCAGAGAGCCATGGCTGCAGAGGCAGAAGCTGCCCGGGAGGCCAGAGCAAAGGTAACAACATCAACTTGTGGGCTTGGGTTTGTTGTTTTTTCTTTTTTTTTTTCTTCAGAAATAATGTAGCATAGGGATGTTGAGGATGCAGATTCCCAGCCAGATTGTCTTGTAGCAAATGGGAGTGCAGGACAGGGTTTTGTGGATTTGTGTCTGGGTACTTGCTTTATTTCCTCGTAGCTTGTGCAGGTGAGATTTCCTTCAGAAGTGTACAATCTCTATTTTTTTTTTTTTACCACACTCCAAGAACAAATGATAAATAGAACAATTTTGAGGTTTAGCTGGAGCCTGCAGTGAATTAGAAGCCAGATGTCCAGCTTTTTCCTGACTAGTCCTGATTTTAGGCAACTCTCTTGTTAGTACATAAGAAGAATAAGAGCTGTAGTGCTTGGTTTTGTCACCCTTCAGCTGACCAATGGGCAGTGTGGTTGCCACATCTTGCTGCCTTCTGAGGTGGGAGTAGGTGATGCTAAATGCTGAACTGCAGAGTCAAAATCCTCAGGGGCAGTTGGAGCTGTTCTAGGACTAGGCAAGTTAACTTCAGTGTTAGTGTGCCCTGCAGTCTGTCTCCTCTGGTGGTTTGATAATCCTGCCTTGAAAACTTATTTTGACCTCCACAGATGCAACTGTAGATTTTATTTTTTTTTAAAAACACACCCTTGCTGAAAAACAAAGCCCTTTTTTGGTAGACTAAGCTGATAAATGCAGGTTTCTGGTAGGTATTAGTGGTCTGTTTTGGAAGCTTAATTACTCTGTGATGATTTTTTAAATTATTTATTCTGATGTTTAAAAGAATATTGTGTCCTTTCAAGAGGACTCTGCAGGGGAGTATGTGCTTGCCTGTGCTGACCCACGTGTGAATTGTCTCACCAGTAACCTGCCTGCTCAGTCCCTTTGGGGTCCATCATCCCATCCAGCTGTCCTTTACAAAGACCCAGAAAACAGAAACACTGTCCCAGTGCAGGGGGGCCCTGCTTGTAGGGAACTGCATGACCACAGATCTGCCCCTAATGAGCTCGTAATTAAAAAGAGGGAATGAAAGGTATTTCCCCAGTACAAAACGTGCCGTTCAGCTGTCAAGCCCTCCTAGAGACAGAAGAATAGAGCTCTGAGTAGGAAGCATTTTGGGATACGTAGGGGGAGTGTTTTCTCTGGTTGTGAGACGCAGTGCTGGAAAAAGCACAAAGTTTTTGAAGGCAGAACAAAGGCACCAGCTGCCTTCTCAAGACGTGGTGCTGCCTTTGTGACCTGGCACCCTGACCCCGAGCAGGAGCAGCACAGGCACACGGGGGGCCAGGGGAGGGCACTCCCCCAGAGAGAGGAGTGGTTCTGCTCTGTGACCTGTGGCTGAAGTCACCCTGCAGACTTCTTATCACTGTGCCAGAACGAATTCAGCTGCACTCCTTTTGCTTCCCCAGGTAATTGCAGCTGAGGGTGAAATGAATGCTTCCAGGGCCCTGAAGGAGGCATCCATGGTGATCACAGAGTCCCCTGCTGCTCTCCAGCTGCGCTATTTGCAGACCCTGACCACCATTGCTGCAGAGAAGAACTCCACCATCGTCTTCCCACTGCCCATCAACATGCTGCAGGGCCTCCTCGGCACCCCTCGCTAGCAGGGGGGCAGGAGGGGTGCGGGGTTTGCTCTGGTGTGCTTGGAGCACTGACCTCCCTGTGTTGGAGCTTGTGGATGTGTTAGAGTTGTACTTGGTGTGTTATAGAACTTACCTGTGATGTTTGTGAACACGGATCACCCAAACACCTGATACTGAAAACCTCTCAGAGTGAGTGCCAGCAGATTGTGATCTTCACTGAGGGTGTATCCACACTGTCCTGGATGGGACAGCTTTAATTTATCACCTCCCATTTTCAAATAGTTTATAAAAGCATTTGTGGTGAAGATGAGGTGATCCACATTTGGAAGAAGTATTCCTTTTACTAAATGGGCCTGCAGCCCTGCAAGGGAAGTAGAACAGCCCTAAACTGTGTTCCCTTGTGACAAAGTCACCAGGTTGCTGTCGTGGGGGCTGGTTCTGTAGCTTACACAAGAACAGGAATGGAAGTTGATACAGGAGTGAGAATACTGTACTGGCTACTTCTGAAAATCAGGCCCATAGTCTAAAAATAGTCCCCTGCTTGTGAGCAACAGTTGTTAGTGGAATTTGCCATCTCTTTTCTGCCACAACAGTGGTGTAAACATGCCATGGTTATGGATCCAATATGCTTGCAGTCATTGATGGGCTGTACTGTGTGATGCCTCTGTAGATTTATACTTCTTTAAAGCACTGAAAAGTTGCTGGGTTTGCTTTGGGTCTGTTTCTCTTAAAAGTGATGTAAGAAAGCCAAAGTACTCACTCCTGCCTTTCCTGCAGGTCTGAAACCTTCTGTAGGGAGTAAGATCTCAGTAATTAGCTGGGGGTGGTGATGTTCAGCAGAAGATGCTGTACTGTTATATATATGTTCTAACAAGTTTTTAATCTTTTTTTGTTGTTAACAAGATTTTCCTGTTGATGCTGCTTCTGAGCAGACCTGTAGTAGTAGTTGTGATACCAAGGGCTTACACTCAATACCAAAAGGATGCACTCTTCAGTTCATCTAGTCTTGAGCTGTAAGTCTGCCAAACTGTAAACCTGTATTCATATTTTGTACCTGTTTAGTAGAGGTAATTACAGGTGAAAATGAGAAGGGGAGGTGGGGGGCAGGCTCTCCAGGCTACCACCATGGCTGAGTTTGGCACATGGTCTTCAATTACTGGGAGGTGGCAGTGGAAAAAAGAGGCAAGATCCAAAATCTAAGTGCCCTTCTCACACTGGCCAGCAGGAACATCCCAGCCTGTTTTGTGTCACCCTTCTGCAATGGTCAGTTCTGCATTTACAGGTATCTCAGTCAGGACAGGGTCTGTTCACCTGTGCCTTGATACGCTGTGCCTTCGTCACTGCTGGCAAAACCTGCTCTGAGCTAACTGGGGCAGTCTCTCTCCTGCTTGTTTGCTGTGAGCTTTTCTTCTTCCCCTGCATCCTGACAGCAGTGTGGCTGTCTGTACGTGGGTCAGTCAGCTGAGCTGGGCTCTTTGGGGAGAGCTCAGGTAACGAAGCTGCAGTAATGAGCACTGCTGTGCTCAGCCTGAGGTTAATCCCTGGGGAGGACCAGTGGTCTGGAACTCCCACTGTGGCCACTGTAGATGGGCACCCCTGGGAATTCCTGTTGACAGCAGGAACACGCTTTTTGCTCTCACCTTGAATAAACCCATGCTGTTTACTAATGACTTTCTGAAGTTTTACTGTTCATTTATCGGTGTCTTAAGTGCCAAAAATTCTGCTGTGGGGAAGGCAAAACCATCCCCAAACCCCAAGAATCTGTAACTGTTTAGTAAGAAGTGCATGTGCAAAGGTGGCAGGAAGAAGGTTTTGTTTTCTGTGGTGTATCTATTTCCAGCAAGGTGAAATGTGGCATCTACAGGTTCTGTTTCATGTTTTCTTTGTAACAAACCCCACCCTTTGTATTCACATATTCCATACGAGCTTTATTGTATTAAATATAGTCAAAGCAAGGAGTGGGGTCAATGACTGGTCATGATTGTTTTCTGTAATTATTGCACAGCTAATTGGCTATTAACATCATTGCCTTGTTAACAAGCATCCTGCAGGAGGAAGTAGCTCTTAAAGGCACTGAAGGCACTAAACTTGCTCCACTCAAAACAAAAAGGAAGAACCTTGTTTCTCAGACATCCACGTCGGCCATGGCTCTCTCCAGGGGGTCCACAGCCCAGTAGTCATCATCCCAGCCCAGGAACCAGCCGGAGAAGGTGGGGGGCTCCAGGCCCTGCTTCACCACGGTCACCGGCGTCCTCTTGTCGCGGCTGGCCGGGTCCGTCTCGATGTACCGCTTGGCTGTGAACACAGGCAGAGGGGGAGCTCACAGGGTGCAAAGTCTGATGGAGCAGCAGCTGGGACAACTTAATGAATGCTAGAGATACTCTGTTTGTTTAAATGAACAACCTAGAGTTGTGGTTTCGCTCTGTGGCTTTATCTGTGCCTGTCAGGAGGCTGGCACTCGCCTGTGGGAGACTGACACTAGGATCAGTTTGATCACAACATGGGATTTTCTGCTGTGGCTAGGACACGTTTCTCAGTAGATTGAGTTGCCTGCCTGATGATCAGATAGTAGGAAAATAAGAAACAGCTCAGGGTGGAAAATGTGACATTACCAGATTTCAATGCCTCAGTCTTTTCTTCTTCTTGGGCATCTTTCCCAATCCATACAAAGACCTAAAGACAAAAAAAAGTATGACTTCTTTCAGAAATGATTAATCTTGTTATGAAAGGATAATTGAGACAAAGTCTCAGCCAACAGAGTGTGACAGAACAAGAACGTACTTGTGTTGGTGTGCCTGGATTGTTGACCCATTGCTATCTACCAATAGCAATAAGGTTTTGATTCTGTTTTATCTGCATAAATTGTAGATACATGATAAAATTCTACAGTAGCTTAACATCAGGGAAAAGTAGGAGGTGTTTGAACGTTTTCACATAAGACATACAAACATATTGCCTTTTGGCTTGTTTATACACAGCCTGTTACAGAAAAATGACAGAAAATGCCTCTGTGTTAAACTGCTGATCCCAAGAGCAGGTCAAAGTCCCCTCCAGGCGGGACCAGGGTGCTGCCCTGGAGCAGCCTGCAGGCTGGGCCGTGCACACCACACACCAGCCTCTTCTTCAGCCCTTAAGCTGACCAAAGACCAATGCTTTCCTCAGGTTTCAGGTGTTTACTTTGTCACTAGTGAGGTAGGTGGTTTGTTCTCAGGCCTGAAGGTGAAAGGACTTGACAATACAACAGCTCTTCAGCTGTTGTAATTTGGGTCTCAAACTAGGGCAAATTTGTGCCTGTCCTTTGCTCCTCTCATCCCTGGGTGAGTGTGTCATACCTGATCCCATGTGTCAAGGAGCATAACATCATCTGTAGCAAGGTCATCCTGAGTCAGGTCTCCAGGAACTTCTTCAATCTGGAAAAGATAAGGTTAAGATGAGCACATACTTCAGATGCCAATTCCCCTCTGCAGGAGAGGTGCTGCTCACAGAGGCTTTAGCTTCACCTCTCCTTGGTGAGATGTGTCATGCTGGACACGGGTGTGGTATTTGACCACACAACTCTGTGTCACAGCAGTGTTCTGAGAGCACAGAACACAAAATCAGCCTCTGTCTACCCAGAGAGACTCCCCTTCACTCGTGCCCAAGGCTTGTAATGCTGCCTCTTTATACTTCAAAGATCTGTGAGTTAAAATGTGAGGAGCCAAGGGTAAGTTGTTAACCAGGGGGATCAGCCTGAGCCTTCAGAAGGCTGCTGGGCAGACAAGAGCTCAGCAGAACTAGCTGATGTCTGCAGGAAAACGGTGCTGACGCTTTGCTTCTGGAGGCAATGCCACTGAGGAAGAGGAGGTGAGCAAACACCCTGCTGGCTGGCTCAGAGCAGAGTGGGTCTCAGCCTCTCCTGGCTCCGTCAGGGGGATGTTGAATTCATTGCCTGTCTTGGATACTCACAGTGAAGCGTCCGCTTTTGTTGGAGCACGCGAAGAGCCGCGGGGGGTGAGCGTCCATCTTCTTGTCCTTCAGGCGGGGAGAGGTGCGGTACGGAGCCTTCCCACCCAGGGCTGCCCAGAAACTGTCTGGAAAAGAGGAGACAATTCTTCATGGAACGTGCAGCAACAGAGGAGACACAATTCTTCATGGAACGTGCAGCAGCAGTGTGGTCTGGGTAGGACCTGAAGCACTCTTCTATGTCAGAATGTCCCAAACATGAGTGTGTTGTGAGGCGTAGTGGAGAAGCCCCCCTGTGCCTATGTCCACATTTCCTTGTTCAGACACAAAATACCCATGAAATAACTACTGGGAAGGTGCAGCTACACAGAAATGATCCCAGACTCCACTGTGCCTCCCTCACCTGGCTCTCTGCCCTCAGAAACCTGTACTGGGCGAGCTCCCAGTATCTTCAGCAGCTCCTGTGCTCCTGTTTTCTCAGCATCACTGGCTCCTTGGCCCACCCAAAGGTAAGCAGCAGAGGGAGTTTTCAGGACAAAGGCATCGTTGGAGTTCAGCTGACTGGCAGTAGGATCCAGCTGAAAAGGAGGAACATTGCATGTGTCAGATGTAACCATCCTCCACACAGAGCCTGTTATTCCAAAATAAAAATCACTGCCTGTCACTGAATAAACTGCAGATGAGATATTCCACACAAGCACGGAGGGTTAAAAGGTATTTTGTACGTTTGCTTGTATCTGAGTGACAAGTTAAGACTTTACACACACTTATTTACTCTTCCTACATGGTTATCTACAGACACACGTGCCCCATGGCAGGAACACTCAGCTTGATGTTTTGCCAGCCTTTAGGGTTATCACAGGATGCTTAAGGACTCACTGCTGTGGAGCAGGATCCCTGCCGCCGAGGCTGATCAATCATTAATGTCAGCAAGGCTGTGCCATCCTGAAGCTACAAACTTGGGAAGTTGCTGCAGACATAAACCAGTGAGTGCTCTGGCCTCATCTGCAGCTATTGACTAGGATTTGGCCTCTTGTTGTTGCCAGGGTTTTTTTGTGTGTGTGCATTTTCATTCAAAAGAGTGGGGCTCTC